GTTGATTTCCTTGTGAAAAATTCTGAACAAAAATATTCATACTGATGTCTAAACCAAATTTAGAAAGTTCAGCTACAGTACAGTATACATTATAATGTACAGGGGCCCAAGTTGAAAGAATCCACATCTGGAAGATCTGTTTAATTGACCTTTCATCTGATTATTATTCCCTAAGGTATTTCAAATATATATAATTTTTATACTGTTCAGCGTTTGATCATTTTTGGAAAAGCACTTTATAAATGATTTTATTGTTGCGAAGCAGCAATTCATATTCTTGACAGCAATTTGACCTCTGAAAGGTCATTTTTTGTTCTGCCAGGTAAAATCAATTACTTTAGGGGACGTTTGTAGACTAACCAACACGTACCAACGTCCGCATGTCGCGCTAGCCTTATCCTACTCTAGGCCTAGACTAGCTAGGATGGTATAGGCCTAGCCTTGAAGGGCAAAAGGTCCCAATGAAAAACAACGTCGTTGTCTATTTAACATCACAATAATTTATTATTAGACCTATAGTTGTTCTTTGAATTGTACTCCACAAATCTCGTAACATCTCGTATTTATTTTCGTGAGCTGCCTCACACTTGCGATGTCTTGCACTTGTGATCAAATAACATGCTGGCTCGCACTTTGGCAACACTCTTTGGCAGTCAACTCCCCCCTAAAAAACCCGCCCTTGGAAACTTGCCCCATAAAAAAATGTACACTTCCTAGACCATGCAGTCTTCAAAATAAAAATTGTAACCTTTGGTAATCAACCACATTTTCCACATACATAGACATTTTTGAAACTTTATTAAAAAAAACCTAAACCATAATTCACCACTATAGATACTTTTTGACAAAAATGAAATATTACGACTTTGTTACCCAATGAGAAGTGTTCTAATATAGACAATGGATCGTGTCTCATATTATTTGTTATATTTTTATTATTCATTATTTTCACTTGACTCGCATAGGCCTAAATAATTTTGTTCGAAGAACATTTATATGCAGTTGTACTTCGCAGTACTTCAATTGCAATTTGCAATTTCTAGTTATTATTAAATATTATACAGTAGTTTGCATGGAGATACCAATTGGCACAAACTTCTAGGAGACAATTGATGGGTTATTTTCCAGGAGATTCTAGCTTGCCCACGAGTGTGTGGGAGATTTCCCAATTTCTGCACAACTCCCGCTGGTTGTGTGCGACTTGGAACCCAGAACCTATACAGTATATTGAATTTCATATAAACTCATGCCCTGGTTATCAACACCAATGGTCTGTTTAAACTGGTTATCTACATTACTGTACACCAATGATTTGTTTCAAAGCTGTATTGAATTTGACTTAAACCCATGACCTGGTTATCACTACAAATGACCTACTTATTAAGTTGGTTATCTATACCAATGGTTGGTACAGTCAACTCTCCCAATACCGACCACCCTTCGGACCGTCCACTTTGACCGGTTTTTCCAGAAGGACCGGTTTAGAGAACGTCACGTTTACCTACCTTGGTTCCCCGACCTTTAGTCAATAATAAGCCTAGGCCTAGCAAGGTACAGCAGATAGGTACACCACACTGCATCATGTACTGTGTAGGCCTACTGACCTGAGAACGTCATTCATGTTTTACATTATTTTTACATTATTTATGTTGTCAATTATCAATAAAAATTTACACAAATCAACTTAATGTGTATCGTAATCTATAATAAGTGTCAGTGTTATTTTTCGTTCGATCGCCATAATCTGCTTCGCTTCAACGTGGTTGCACACTTGATTGGTTTTCGATGCCGCTGGCATAACCTTGGTGGGTCACTGAATGCTAAAAATAAGTGCTAACTTATGCAGCGCACCCTAAACTGCGTCAGCCAATAGAAAACAGAGGTGACACTCAAAGCGATTATGAAATCGATAGCCTTATGTTGGGACCGCTTGGTTTGCCTTAGCGTGAGAATGAAAGCAAAATGTGAGAAAAGGATACGTTCCTTAATAAAGAAAACACACTCATGAACTTTTTTTTATCTGTTTATTAAACAAATGAAATCTAGGCTTATTGCAATTAATTAATTAATGCGCTATTGGCGTGTCACACGATCAACGCTAACGATCGTACACGTGGTGTTGTTCTGTGATTGATAGTTGTTATTTGGAGTCCGATGATTTATTTAACATATTTCGTCAATAAATCATCGTTTTAAACTGGCCGTCCGGTTTTCAGAAGGTAATTTTATTGTTCCGGACTTAAGAATTTGGCCGGAATTTGGAATTGGGAGATCCGGTTTTCAGAAAGTACTTTAATACAATAAGAATAGAAATGATTTTGGGACTTTAAAAAACGACCGGTTTTGCGTGAAATCCGGTTTTCTGGGTGGTCGGTATTGGGAGAGTTGACTGTATTAAGGCTATAGTGAATTTGACCTAAACCTACAGTACTGTATGACCTGTTTAACAGTGGATTAAAGTAGTACTGTAGTATAAAAAACAGTTTCTGCTAGCTTGGTTTCAGTGTCGGTATCAATGCGCTAATCATACCAGAAAACTTTTCATTCTTTGAAACACAATAGAGAACAAAATGTATAAACACAGCAAAGGGTTAACATATTCTGCTTCAGTAAGCCAGGAATTGAAACGATAGAAGGGAGTTGCATACAATCAGATATCAATTTGATCTACTAAAAATGGCTATCAATAAATTTCTCATCTTATAATCAGGCAGAACTAGGGAGGGGCAACTTGATTTCCTGCTTCACAACAAGAAGATCCATTTGTAGATAGAAGCCTTTCTGAAGACAGCCTATCTAAAGTGGCCTTGAATATAGGAAGATTGAATTAAAACTGAGTTTACAATTATATTGTTCTAGGCCTAGCAATGCCAACAAACAACAATACTCACCTTCATTCAACAAATAAAATTATAATTTTACATTACTTTTATTCTGCATGTAACATTACAACACTCACCTATCAACACTTAAATATTGCAGTAAAGAAAAAATCCATTCTATGAAGATGAACATTTACTGATACCTCAAGGAATGAATCCTAAGTTAGTGATACTAGCCAGTCAATTTGTTGTTCTATTGCCAAGTACACATGGTTAGCAAGTGAAAGCGGTTTGGCACAGTAGGTACGGTTTTGTTTCAATCCTTCGCTATACATTTCACTTGTGTCCTTGAGCATGGTACTTTATCTGCATTGCTCTTTCTACCTTAGAGTATAAATGGGTATCTGGTGGGGTTGCCTGCTACTACATGAATACTGTATGGTAGTAACACTTTCATGTGGACTCAATGACAAGGAAAACAACGCCCTTTGTACAGGAAAGGCGTATAAATACCAAACAACAAGTAACACATTCACAAACTTTCCCACTGCACAACCCCGTACAACAGTCCTAACTTAATTCTCTCATGGAAAATTACGCCCCCAAAAAAACTTTCCTCCACACATCAAGTGGTGGCACCAGAAATTTGCCGACAAGGGGTCTGACATCATTTGGATACAGGCAAATTATTATTTTTTTTATTTTTGATACGATGACCTAATCGTGGTGTCTACAATAGATGCATAATGTGACCTTCATGTCAAATATTAATAAAAGGCTGAATATACACTTTGCTGATTTTTAACATGCCTTTGGATTTGAGTGTTTCAAAATTGTCTTTATCAGTTAGTATAGATTTGACATCCAATGGCATTTTTTATTAATATTATTTAGTAACAACATTTTACCACAGTATTTTTGCAACCTCACTGATACTGTAGACGTAATCAGAAATGTACTGTACCCTAAAAATAATTCAATAACTTGAAATAAACAAATGGACTAATTCAATTCTATTAAGTAGATCAGATAATCTCCAGTGGTCTTGAATTAAATTTACTCTAAGTGGATTTCAATGAACTATGACCTACCTTCAACCTTGTGATTTTTCAACATGCAACAATTTCATAATCATAACAAGAGTACAACTTATGAATGAACATGTTATCTTTCTTACCTTTTGGCCAACTCGATCAACCGCATCCAAAAAATATTTCACTGCATCTGTCTGTGAAGAAAATGTAAATAGTTGGTATGATTAGGATTGAGTAAAAAATATATTAGAAAAACAATGGATTTTAAAAAACACTATACTGTAGCTTTTGACTCCATAAGCACTGAATGAAAAAATATTGACTTGCACAATAGACATACTCTATTCTACTACTAGGTCGGTCATGTGACGTATACAGTAGTGGGTATAAATTGTACACAGGCAGTGCCAGTGACACTCGTTAGTAGGATTTACTGATTTTAACAATTTTATGTTACCTTAATGATTATTCATAATAATCATGTAATTTTTCATTTGCTTTATTATGCTTTAATTATGTTGCATTGAAAATGGTTATCATAAGAACTTTTCAACGTTATTTACAAAATAAAAATAATAATTTAAATTTCATTAAGTTACAGTTACCAACAACTACAGCCGCAATCGCACTTGACTTTCTTTCGGTAAAACTATGCTTTACCATAGCCCAGTGCCAACAGACCAGGAAACTTATCTCACAGGAAATCTTATGGAGAGGATCAGTTAGTTTAACCGATTCGACTGTGCCCAGTAAAAAGGGTTAGATGGTCGCCATGATGGTACTTAGCGGTACAACACACCAGTAGACTACAAAACTGAGCCCTGCTTAAAAACACAGTAGTCGCAGACTGTCAAGTACAGTCTGCGCGGGAAATACCACCACCAAAAGGACCCCATAGGAAATAAGTTTTCTTTAGAATTTTTTGGGTTATCCTTGGTGTTTACACTGAATAAATCTATCCATCCAATTCCGTGCAGACTTTGCAGAAAATTAGGTTTTGACATAATCTTAGCAAACATGGTATTATGCACTTATTTAACATTCTGTGCACCTATTTTCCTAGCGATACAGTATGGCATAGTGCATTATCACTAGGTTACAGATAAATCAACAACTAGAGCCGCAATCACACTGGACTCTTTTTTTGGTAAAACTAATCAAGACGTTTTACCGTAACTACTGTACTTTACCCTAAAATTCAAAACATTGTGGCAATAAAGAATGATTTGATTACCTAGGGATATAGTTATGGTGGACGGGACCACCCAACCCAGAAGTCTTCCACCCAGTCCAAGGTCTCATAGAAAAAAATTATTAGATTATCACTCTCTTTTATAAAAAAAATTGATGAGGGCAGGTGGTTTTTAATTTTTACTTTCTTTTTTTTTTTTGGGGGGGGGAGAGAAGGGGTAGGAGACAGGTCTATGCACAGGGATTCCCTGTGACTCAATGGTCTATCCAAAACTAGGCCTATATTCCGGTGAAAAAAATCAGACATACTCGAGCATAGTTAATAGGCACAGGCACCCTAAACCTCGAGCTAGGCCAGCATTTGCCTAAATTTTCTTTATTGATGTCGTACATTAGGTTAGTTTTTGCCCAACAACAACCAATCAAACAAAACACACCCATCACAAGGAAGACTGTCCACTTGTAATGCATGATGTTACTTTTAGTAGCGAGAGTCCCTGTTCATGCTTTGAATCAACGATTTGATCAGACCACTGGGAAGGTCTCTTTAAGAATGGACCGCGGTGTTGCCTATTTTTAACTGCAACTGTGGAACACGCGCGTCTTCACGCTGTAAATTATGATACGATCAGTCTACTGGGCGGGATGGACAGACTGCGGTGTTGTCAATTTTTAAATGCAGTTAGCTACAGTAGCTGTTCTTTTTAGCGACAGTAAACAACAAGTTTAAAGAATGGGCTTTGCATTTTCAAGGATATCCCAATGTCTGATCTAGTCTGAAATCGCAGCAAATTCCTTTATATTTTGTGAGCATTTGCAAAGTTGTTTTTATGCAGTTAAAATAAATGATGTGAAAGAGAAAATAAATAAATAAATAAATTTTTAAAAAATAATATTATTCCCGCATCAATATTTCCAAAATTTTTGACGCGGGCGGGAGTGATAACCTTATCTATTTGCCCTAAAGCTAATTTCATGGCCCTTCACCCACCCTTATTAACCCACTTTTCCACCCTTAAAATGCCCAACACCCACCATTACTTATCTACACCTACAACCCTGTTTATCATAATTTAATTTGAGCATTACTCAATAGATGACCTTTCCGGCCTGCATAGACGTCTGTTTTACGCGCGAGTATAGATAACAAATTATCGCCATCAATGCAGTAGTTGCTTTTTATGGCTAGTTCATTAGTAGTTTCAACATTTCTCGCAGTAAAACTGACTTAACAATATTAAGTGTGGACAGCGGTAAGATTACAGGCAACCCAATGTTAATGTTACTCAGGATCTGGGTGAAAGCTTCCATTTTTTAGTCTTGTTTGTTTGTAATATTTATTGCACTTCAATACATCAAAATACAATTAATAAAAAAAAAGGCAAACAAAAAAAAAGTTTAGTGCAACCACTAATTAATAAAATGTGAATCTTGCTATGATTTAACCCATATACCTTGGCTAAGTCTTACCTACCCAAGCCTACCTTTAGGCTAGAACCTAGAGCTAGGCCTATCATCAGAGAGATTACAATAGTTCCTAGGCCCTAGGCCTATATCTGGCCCACACTACTTACCAGTTGGAACTCCCTCCGTCTGGCGAATGCATCACGGATTCCACCATCGGCCCACAGTTGCTTGCAAGCCGGAGCAAATGTTTGAAAGACAGTGGGATCTAAAGTAAGCTTGTTCTCATAAGACATAACAACAGCTGCATGACTCCTGTTTTCAGGGTTTTGCCACGGTATATTTAATTTATCTCGTGCGTCCACCAATACTTTCATTCCCTTAACAATATTTGTGTAGATTATAGTGCGGTACTCGCGCACTTCTTCGTCTCTGAAGGTAACGCCATGAATGATTTTCATCTGCTTCAAAAATGTGCTCTTACCACTCTCTCCAGCCCCGAGCAACAAGACTTTAACTTCTCTACGAAGGTACTGCTTTTCTTTGGCTAATAATCTGTCGATATTTTTACTTATATTCTGTTTCCTTCTCTCTTCTTCACTGAGACAGCAGGTTAGTAAACCGGCCATGTTGAACGCAGCAAGTTCAGTTTACACCACACCCATGACGTCATAACCGGAAGTAAATACACTCCATGCGAAAGACGTACGTCCCCAGACCTGACCCACTGATTAGTGGTTTGACCTGCAGCAGCACTGTAGTGCGAGGCTTTGAAAGATAAATTTTATGTTTTTAGGTCTTATTTATTCATTATTTATTCAGGAAAACAATTACAAAACAAAGTACAGTGCACTTTACAACAAAAAAAAACTGTTCTATAGGAAGATTTATAGGCCTATTATTTTTTACTACTAATAATGATTTTAAGTTATTAATAACAATAACAATAACAACAATAACAACAACAACAACAATAATAACAGTCATAACATTAATAACAATAATAATTATGAAAATAATAACAACAACAACAATAATAATAATATAATAATAACAATAAAATAAATAACAATAAAATAAATAACAATAAAATAAATAACAATAAATAAATAACAATAAAATAAATAACAATAAAATAAATAACAATAAATAAATAACAATAAATAAATAACAATAATTAAATAACAATAACAATAACAATAACAATAACAATAATAATAATAATAATACAGTAGAACCCCTATTAGGGGACACCTTCAGGACCAAACAAATTGTACCCTTAATATGGGTGTCCCCTTAATAGGGGTACCACTATTCAGGGGACACTAACAAAAAAACGTGAAATTGTCCTGTTAATACTAATAGGACCTTAATTGACCTAAGAATATGCAATGCTACAAAATGTGTGTATGTTCCAGATATTGTTTCTTTACAGGGGCGGATCCAGCGGGGCGGGGCCACGGAGGACCCGCCCCGCTCCTTAATCGGTGCCCCACATGAGGGTCCAGTATGGTCCTCGCTCTATAGCACCCTGATCCAAAAGCAGAATGTGTCTCTGACATCGACTGTAGAACATATCATATTAATCCAGTGGGGGTGGGGTGCCCAGCGGGCCAAGGCCACCCTTTTGGCAAATTTCTTAAAAATTGAGATAATATTCACTCTAAATGAGTGCGGCCATTTCCGAGCATCTAGAGGTGCCATAACCATAATCTGCTTTGCAACTCCCCAGTATAGATAGACTATAGGACCTTGATTACCTTGATAAGGGAGGGGAAGCATGGCTCCCGTAGGGAGGAAGTCAAAAAAAAATTCTTTGAAAAAGTAGAGTGCAGGCTGTCCTGGTAGATTAGAATCCTATATTTAAATTATACACAAAACAAGAAATAATAATAATAATAATTATGGATTTATATAGCGCCTCACGTTGACACAACCTCCATGGTTAACGGTCAAAATTGACAAGATTTCCTTTTACGAAGTAACACATGCACTAGGCATCCAATGCCCATTCTAAGAATGGAACAAAATCTGGTTTGATGTTAAGTTTACTGCTCAAAAGGTGTCAAAATATAAAATTGAATGACTTTTTTTCTTATTTTGTGACTACTGTATATAGTTCTTTTGATACAGTAAAAAAGTGTCCCTGTTCCCTTAATAGGAGTTCCCCCTTGATAGGGGATCATAGTTACCAACCTGAGAGACTTGAAATGAGTGAGTGACTACACCATTTGGCTGGGGGTGGGGGTCCAGGGGTGGAACCCCGGCGGGGATCGTGGGAGCGTCACGCCCCTGGTGCTTCGACGATCTGAGCATTTTTAAGCGTTTTAAACGATTTCAGGGAACGTTTGTTGACAATATCGGGTAGGCCTACAGCAAAAATATTTTGAAGCCACGTACAATTTGAGTTTTAATGTAAGTTTAATCTGAGCAAACGAACTTAACTGTGTAGATCTACACAAACATTTCATTACAGATCAATTTTATAAATTTTTAGTAACGCGCCAGTGAAATAAGTATTCATGTAAATAGCCTACTGTACTCTCTGAGACTCAAGTTATTGCATTACAGTTTTTATATTTTTAATTTAATAAAACCAGTTTCCTCTAATTTTAAATACATTTTCCACTGAATTCGTGATAATTCGTTATCACGCATAGACTTATGCTTAATGCGTGACAAATTTAGGATCACGAATGTTTCTGCAAAATGCGTGTTTCATACAAAATCACTTTAAAATGCGGGACCGTCCCGCACGATGCAAGACGGTTGGTAACTATGGGGGATGATGATGATGATGACGGCGACGACGACAATGATGACGATGACAACAACAACAGAAACAATAATTAACAATAATAATAAATAATAATAATAATAATAATAATAATAGGCCTAATGATAATGATAATGTTAATAACAATAATCATAATAACAGTAATGATAATAATAATGATAATAATAATAACAATAAAATTAATAATTTTAACAATAACAATATTAATCGGAGGGCGGGGGGCACAATATTTTCGGAGTAGAAAAATGAGCAACACATTTTGAAATTTAGAAAGGGGGGAGGCCGGGGCCGGGCCCGGGCCGCCCCCCCCCTAAATCCGCCCCTGTCTGTTGTATGTGCGAATGCCTCTTTTTCAGATTTTACTGTTTTTACTATCAACGCTTTTTATGTCTTCTCATTTGAATTGTACATTTTAAAACTTATGATTGTTCTGCTATTTTAAACACATAATGTATAAATTAAAAAAAATAAAGCAACAAAAATCTAAGAGACGAGACAAATTTTGAGATACACCTCCACTGGCGTTAATTAAAGATTATAATGAATATTCGAGAAAAACGTATATCCCTATCAGGATTCGAACCCAAGACCTTCCGATTACCAACCAACTGAGGTATGAGGCCAAGTATCATGCATTGCAAAAGAAGGCGTGGTTTCAAGACAGTGAAAGTATTTTCTTTAAAAAATACTATTCCACAATTGGTCACTTGAAAATATCCCCAATTTAAAAATATTACTTCGGCAGCGGCTAATGTTACACCAATCTAAATCTATTCTTAATAGCGATGGGATGTTATTATTTGTTTTAAGAATGGTACAACAATAGTCACTGCCAATGATTTTGTGGATGACCTTAGAAGGTCAATACCGCAGGTGCCCCATACATCTAAACAAAACAGGGTTTCCAGCAAAAACACGTCGCATGGATGGCGCGATCGGTTAACGAAGTGTTCTAAGGAACCAAAGGTCGTGAGTTCGAATCGCGTCTTGGTATTCATTTTTTTCTTCCAATTTTAAACATTTAATTTTTTTCAATTTTAGCATTTTGTAAAATGAACATTCTATTAGGCCTATTTAAAGATTCGGTTCTTTACACCACAGAGTTGACCGACCGCGCCATTTATGCGACATGTCCTGTTAGTGGCAGTAATATTGATTAATAGGTCTTTTTGGTCATTGATTGATATTATTTTATACTGCCCTCATTGAAGCTTTTGACAACTGTTATATGTTGACTAGTCAATAAAATAAGTACTATTATTATTAGTACTATTATTATTAGTAGTGTTATTAATAGTAGATGATCTTGCTTCCTTCGTAAACTGGTTTAATAAAATAAAATGGTGAAAGGATTCAATGATTTGCGTTGAACATTATCTTCATAGTAATAGTTGTAGTTGGCGTCAGTTGACGTATGTATGTGTTCATTTCGGAACAGGTTGTAATTGTATTTAATCGTAGAAAAATGTTGCTATTGCACCACATGTGGTCTCTGATGACAGCTCTTGTCTTCTGTTGGTTCCTTGCGCTACTCTTTGCAGGTATTCTGTTTTGGCTGTTGATGTTTTAATAGTATTAGTTTTCATACCCAAAAACCCCTCTTTTCCCCCCTCTTGATAAAGGTCAGTTAAATTTTTCCCATTGTTATTACAGTAAATAAAAAAAAGGAAAAGGGGGTCGGGTTCTAACCGGAAAAAATTAGCTTTATTTTTCATTAAAAGTGCCTTTTAATGAAAAATAAATTATGTGTGTACCGGCATACAAGTGTAACTCGGTCGGGGACTGGATAAACATTCTCTTTCGCCTCCCACTCCTCCTCCTTCCCTCTTTCTTTTCTTGCATTTCTTTCCAATCATACAAAAATCTCAATAGACAATTTCTGCGATTAAGTTGGGGGAAGGAAGAAACCCGGTCCCCACGGCCCCCGGGCCCCTAAGGCGCCCCTCCCCCGATTTCAAACGCAGCGACGCCACTGCCCATCACCTCCCTAGCGACAGGGCCTGTCTTTCTTGCATGCATGTGCTAGTTTGCTTGTCAGAGCTATACTGTAGGCCTATTAGAACAATGAATGAAGATTTCCATTCACTCAGCTGGCAAAGAGGGGTTCAATAGTTGCAAATATATCAAGACAAAGGAAATAAAGACAACTGACACGAATGTGCATATTTTATTTTAATCACTGCCAAAAAAAAAAAAAATGACCGAATAGAGAAGTAATTTTGTGTGGAGGAAACCGAAGAACTCGGGGAAAACCACACGACAGTAACAGGAGATTAGCTCCAGTAAGGAAAGATCTGAATTCTTACCCTCGTCACTGCCCCACGAGCTTAACCACATGTGTTTATGCAATTAAACTCATTGTAGACCAATAACAACATGCATATAACAGAAATACCTCAACAGTTGAATTATTATCATCAGTTAAATTATTATTATAACTATTATTAATTGCCATTTAATATTAATTTTACATGAAAATGACAAAAACAAAAATGAATATATGTATGAAGGAAAAGAAGGAAAGTAGGAAGGTATCATTTCTCTGTTCCTAATGCTATATTTAGATAACCTACCTATACTTACTCTACATACCTGCGATAGAGAAAGGTACCTTTAAGAAACAGATTAGGGAAACGACGAAATATGAAGTGTCAATGGAAGACAATGAAATTGAAGCAGTATAAATGGTATCATTCCTCTTATTTACCCTAATTACTTATGTACCTTAATTACCTTCTATCACCACCTACGCTAACCACCTACGCTAACCGGATGCCTAAAAAACCACTAAGGGACACCTTACAAAGAGGAAGATACCATTTACAGTAGTTAGAAAAAGAATGAGTGCAATTTTTATGAATGAATGAATGAATGAATTATTATTTTTAATTATATATCGTTTTATATTTATTTTATAAATTATATATTTGTAACTGACGAGGTATAAATTTACAAGGAAAATATTATATATATTGTATAATAGTATTTCTGCTGTTAGCTACATCTCCAGTGAACTTGCAAAATCTTTCTTTGAGGCTGGTTGGACTACGAATTCCTGCCCGAGTCGGATCTAACGCCACAATGCCAACTGCATCTGTGTACGGTATACATTCACTATATTTCCATTCAAAAGCAAAAATAAAAAACAAAAACAGTTAATGGATAAAAATAAATTGATATTCAAACATTAACAATGCAATGATAATAGCACAAAATATGAAGTGTCACTCAACTTACCTTAAATCTTAACTTGTAATTGTCTGTGATTTTTTTGATTTTTTTTTTGGTTTGCCGTTCTTTCAATCTGAAATATAACGAAGTACACTAGATATTTAGTTAGTAAGTATCTATATTCTGTCTCTTATACACATCTAGATGTGTATAAGAGACAGCTGTTGGTTCCTCGCGCTACTCTTTGC